GGTTACCCCTAGGGAGGTGGTGGAATCTCCTTCCGTAAAGGTTTTTAAGGTCAGGCTTGACAAAGCTCTGGCTGGGATGATTTAGTTGGGAATTGGTCCTGCTTTGAGCAAGGGGTTGGACTAGATGACCTCCTGAGGTCTCTTCCGCCCTCTCCCCCCGTTGGTGGTCCTGCCCAGCACAAAGGCCTAAATAGACCCTAATGGACAGTCCTTCCTCCAAAAGCTTGTAATCTAAACCCACAGGGATTAAGTGAGGTTTATGTAGGTCATTTGCTTTGTGGTGACACTATGCATTCACCTCCACTGACTAAAAACTTGTTTTTAAGTATCCCTGTGCAGGTAAGAGCTGCTCTCTGTAAACCTGTAGGCTGAAATCTTTACTCATCAGACACAGGAGCTATTAGCGGAAGCCTTCTAGTTACACAGAGCTGTAGTCTTGGGTAATTGGGCTCCAATGGCTGCGTAGGCAAAGGCGTGTGATTTGTGGCATTGGCAGGCCAGGAAAAGACTTCCCATTCTCTGTGTGGTTACAGCCAAGCAGGGTGGTTCCCAGATTTATTGAAACATTTATAGAACTCCATAGCAGAACGGTACGTTGGGCTAGAGGAGTTCCCCCTGCCTTAATCTGAAGCGCAGACTTCCCTTTTCCTGTGCTGGATGGGTAAACTGCAGGCAGACAAAATTACGTAGTGGAAAGCACCCTATGCCCCAGAACGGCTCGGATAAGGGTGGTGGGCGAGGAGAAATGTGGCCTCTAGCCAACTTATTATGATACAAATACATTTTAATTCTTAAGCACCCAGACCTGAAAAGCTCTGTGCATCCTACTATTGTGTGCAGTAGCAAGAGCAGGGCTCCATTGTGCTAGGCGCTGTACAAACATATAGTAAGAGACTATTTCTGTCCCTAAATAGACAAGGAAAGTATCATCAGCCCCATGTTCCAGCTGGGAAATGGAGTCACAGAGATTCAGATCCAGATTTTCAAGAGTGCTCAGCCCTCATTTAAGACCATCAATATTTTCCCCAAGGTCACACAAAGAGTCTGTGCACTGGGGGACTGAAGCCAGATCTCCTGAGTCCCAGCTCAGTGCCTCCACTGCAAGATCATAGAATCATAGAATAATCATGGTTGGAAGGGACCTCAAGAGGTATCTAGTCCAACCCCCTGCTCAAAGCAGGACCAATTCCCAGCTAAATCATCCCAGCCAGGGCTTTGTCAAGCCAGGCCTTAAAAATCTCCAAGGAAGGAGACTCCACCACCTCCCTAGGTAACGCATTCCAGTGCTTCACAGCCTTCCTTGGTAAGGAAGATCAGCCTTCCTTACCAAAGAACAACTCTGAACTTAATCATCAGAAATCATGTAAATCCCCACGCCCTCAAAGGAGCAGAACAGAGTCCCAGCAGTCCACTCCTAACGCAGAATGGGTCAAGAGCCCTACGGTTAAAAAAGGCCACAAGCCTGCTACTATACCCTACTGTATGCTGCGAGTGTGGCACATGAGCCAAGCTAAGAAGGGTTCAGAGCTCAGTCACTGAGACTTCCCGAGAACGGTCATTCGGTAGGTGATGCTCTCCCCTCTGAGGTACCACAAACCCAGTGTCCCACCTGGGGTGCAGGGCTCTGTGCTGCCAGAGAAGTTGGCATTTGGCTGAGATGTAAAATGAAGTCCTTTAATGACTGACTGGGGTTAAGATCCCATTGTACTTTCTGCAAGTGGAGGTGAGTTAGCCCTAGAGGCAATTTCCAGTGTACGGAGTTAGCAGGGGTTGGGGGTTCTAGCCCAACGTAAGGTCCCAGGGACCTTTCACCAGCTCTAAAGGGGCTGCAGAGAGTTCTCAGGCTTGTCTAGTGCTGTAGCTGCTACGCCTACGGGAGAGCGTCTCTCATCAGTGTAGTTAATCCACCTCTGCGAGAGGCTCTGTGAAGCTCTCCTGTTGACATAGCACTGTCTAAGCCGGGGGTTAGGTGGGTATAATTTTGTCACTATGGAGTGTGGATATTTCACACCCCTGAGCGATGTAGTTTGTGGTGTGGATGTGGCCACAGTATGGCTGGCTTTATGCCTCCCACCCACACCTCTAGGGGTGGGAGAGGGTAGAGCCAGAGCACACAGCACCCTGGACTATCCCAGCCAGCTCAGGGATCCCTTGGGCCTGTGGGCTGGATCTCTGTTGGGTGAAATTCACCCCATGCAGATTCCATTGACGCCAGGGCAGGTGTTTTTTACCTGGTATCGCTAGGACTCTCTTTCTCCCCAAGGGAGATCTCCTGAAGGTTTTCCGCTGTACCATTATTAATGTGTTTATTGTCATATCAGGCTTTGACCCGGCTGACCACTCCTGAGCAGCCAATCAAGCCTGCCAGGAGAACGTCTTCCCCTCGGTGCTGTCG